ATTTAATGACCTAGAAAATGCTCCACTGAGATACTTTGGAATAAAAATCACACTATCTGCAGGGTAATATAAAACACACGTGTTGTATGTATGCAGATCTAAAAGACTGGAAGTATGGGACTCAACATTTTAAACAGCTATCTCTGGTGATGGAATTGGGGAGACTTTTTTTTTTTTCCCCTTTGTGCCTTTCTAGATTTTCCAAATCTTTACAACAAACTTGATACATTCTAGTCAGAAGGAAAAAAGCTCCTTTTTAAAAAGGTAAAATATTTAATATTAAGATCTTCTGTGACATCACAAAAACCATACAATCACTGGAGTCAGCTGAAACTCCAGCGGCTACTAGCACAGTTTGGATGACACTAAGAGAACTCGCACTCCCCCGTAATAAAACCTGATAGGACACCACAGTAACAATGTAGTATATACATAAGAATTGATAGTGTAACCAAATACCCTGGAAGTAGAATCTAACATGTGTCTACTCAAAAAGAACTTAGTATGGGGCACCTGGGTGGCTCAGTCGGTTAAGCGTCTGCCTTCGGCTCAGGTCATGATCCCGGGGTCCTAGGATAGAGCCCCGCATGGGGCTCCCTGCTCAGCGGGGAGCCTCCTTCTCCCTCTGCCTGCCACTCCCCCTTCTTGTGCTCTCTCTGACAAATAATCTTAAAAAAAAAAAAAAAAAAGAACTTAGTATATGATAAAGGTAGCGTTACTTATCATGCAGGAGGAGGAAGGATTATTTAATAAAGAGTGTGAAAATAGCCATTTTAAGAAGATAAATCACTACCTTATAATATACAACAATACATCATTTCGATGAACTAAGTTGCTAAATGTAAATGATATACTCAGGAGACCTTAGAAAATGCACGTGAATTTGTGATCTCGAATTTAGAATACCTTTGTAAGCAAAATTTTAAAAGAAGAAAATAAACCAGAGAAAGAGCAATTTTCCTACATTTCTGTATATTGCTTCCTTACATCAAAAACCACCACGAAGGGGCGCCTGGGTGGCTCAGTTGGTTAAGCGACTGCCTTCAGCTCGAGTCATGATCTCAGGGTCCTGGGATCGAGCCCCGCATCGGGCTCCCTGCTCAGCAGGAAGCCTGCTTCTCCCTCTCCCACTCCCCCTGCTTGTGCTCTCTCTGTGTGTCAAATAAATAAGTAAAATCTTTAAAAAAAAAAAAAAAAAACCACCACGAAGGAAATTTTAAGGTAAAAGACACATTAAGGAAATCTGCAACATATACAACAAAGACTTAAAATTCTTAGTATGAAGAGATCTTATAGGTCAATAAAAAGCTTCATTTTTTTTTTCTTTTTTTTTAATTAGAGAAAGGACAAGATCAAGCATTAGGTTCCATTAGGGCAGGATGGTCTGGCTCATTCTCTGCTGACTCAGCAGAATGCTCCACACATAGTGAACCACCACTACATATTGATTCCATAAAAGAGAGATAACTTACAGAAGAGTAGATAGAAATGGCCCCAAAAAGTCCATTTTAGGAGTCCAAAAATCACAAGTAATCAAGTAATGCAAGATAAAATAGCAATAACATTTTATTCTATCAACTTGGCAATTTTTTTAAATAATGCCCACTATGGTCAATTATGTGATAAAATGAAGGCTATTATCTACTGCTACTATGATTTTAAATTAGTTCAAACTTTCCACACAGTGATTTGTCCCTACAGAAATCTTAATGTTCTTCTGACCCTTCACCAATATTTTTATTTCTGGGTATTTATTCTGAGAAAATAGTCCAAATAACGGACTGAGAAATAATGTTGTAAATTGGAAACAACCAAATTGTTAAACATAGGGAGTTGGCTAAATAAGTAGATACATGTGATAGGTTATGAAAATAGTTGTGATCTAGAATATTTAAATATATGGAAAACTGCATATTATAAAATAAGTTTAAAAAGACAAACATACATGTATATATTGATTTCCACTTTCTTTAAAATATGTGGATATATGTGTTTACTTGGATAATGGAATAGATTTTTTTTTTTAAAGATTTTATTTATTTATTCATGAGAGAGAGAGAGAGAGAGGCAGAGGCAGAGGGAGAAGCAGGCTCCCCATGGAGCAGGGAGCCCGATGTGGGACTCGATCCCAGGACCCTGGGATCATGACCTGAGCTGAAGGCAGCCACTTAACCGACTGAGCCACCCAGGCGTCCCTGGCAGAGATTTCTTAAATAGGAAAAGAATACACTGAACTTCATCCAAAGACATCTATAGACAGTCCTTGGCTTACAATATTTCATCTTATAATTTTTCAACTTTACAATGGTGTGAAAGCCACATGCATGTAGCAGAAACCATACTTGGAATTTTGAATTTGGATGGTTTCCCTGGGCTAGCGATGTGCAATATGGTCCTCATGATGTAGGGCAGCGGCCACCACAGCTCCCAGTCAACCACGTGATCACAAAGGTGAACAATCAATACATGGACAACCATTCTGGACCCACACAACCATTTCACTCTTCCAGTACAGTGTTCAATAAATTACATGCAATATTCAAAACTTTATTATCAAAGAGGCTTTGCATTAAATGATTTTGCCCAAATGTAGGCTAACGTAAGTGTTCTGAGCACTTTTGAGGTAGGATAGGCTAAACTAGGATGTTTGGTAAGTTAGCTGCATTACATACATTTTCAATTTATGAAATTTTCAATTTATGATGGGTTTATCAGGATGTAACCCCATTTTACGTCAAGGAGGATCTGTATTTTGAAGATTTAAGACACAGATCGGGGGGAAAAAGATCTTATCAAAGCATGTATCTGCTAAAGTACTGGTATCAGGAATATATAAGGAATTTTTACAATCACATAGTTTTTAAAAAACAGGAAATATATTTGAACACACACTTCACCAAAGAAAGTATATGAAGGGCAATTAAGCGCATATAAAGATGTTCAACAACATTAGTCATTTGGGCCATTAGTCCCAAGTAATACCACAGTGAGATATCACAACGAGATTCCACTGGAATGGCTAGAATTTAAAGACCGACCACACTGTTTCTAAGAATGTGGAGCAACTGGAAATCTCATACACTACTGGTCGCAACACAGAATGCTTCAACCTCTTTGGAAAACGGTTTCTAAAAACTTAAACCTTCACCTCCCATAGGACCCTGCCATTCCACTCCTAGGTATTTATCCAAGAGAAACAAAAGCACATGTGCATGTCTACACAAAGACATACATGAATGTTCATAGCAGCTTTATTTGTAATAGCCAAAAACCAGAAACCATCCAAATGTCCAATAGGAAAATTGACAGAAATTGTGGTATGTTCTTACAATGAAATACTACTCCGCAATAAAAAGGAATGAACTATGGATTCACACAACATGGAGGAATCTGGAAATAATGATTCTGAGTGTAAGAGACAAGGGAAAAAAAGATCCTAATTAGAAAGATAAGATTCCTTATTACTCAGCCATCAAAAAGAATGAAATCTTGCTATTTGCAACAACATGGATGGAACTAGAAGGTATTATGCTAAGCAAAATAAGTCAATCAGAGAATGACAATTATCATAGGCTCTCATTCATATGTGGAATCTAAGAAACAAAATAGATGAACATAGGGAAAGGATGGAAAAATAAGATGAAATCAGAGAGGGTGACAAACCGTAAGACTCTTAACTCTAGGAAACAAACTGAGGGTTGCTGGAGGGGAGGTGGGTGAGGGGTTGGGGTAACTGGGTGATGGGCATTAAGGAGGGCACAGGATGTAATGAGCACTGGGTGTTGTATGCAACTGATGAATCACAAAACTCTACCTCTGAAAATAATACACTATATGTTAATTAATTTTAAATAAAAAAGATAAGATTCCTAAGATTCTCAAAAATGCAAACCAATCTATAGAAACCAATGGTTGCCTTGGGCTAGGGGAGGGGCATGAGGTAGCTTGTGCAAGTGATAACTACATTCATTAACTTGATTTTGGTGATGGTTTCAAACATACATATGTATGTATATACAGACACATCCATATATACATATATATGTGATGAGGGAGCAGAAGGCTGGCTGAAGACAAAGCATAAGCTGACACCCTACAACCTCCCCCACCCCCCCCACTCCTGGGCGGGACATGTGGTGTGACATTCTTCCAGGAATCTCCTATGGTAATGTTAATGCCTTGCTAGAGGGGAAAAACAACCTTAACTTGACAATGGCAAGGCCTCTGGTAGCTTGTAGGTCCTCCTTAGCATATGAAAGTTCTCTTGAAACCTCCCTTTTCCCCACCCCTCATAACCCTGGGGCAGCAGCTCTTTCTGCCCATGGGTCCTGTCCCCAAGCTTTAATAAGACCACCATTTTGCACCAAAGATGTCTCAAGAATTCTTTCTTAGTCGTCGGCTCCATCCCACTGAACCTCACCTATATTCCAAAACTACATCATATGCATCTGTGAAACCATTAAGATCAAGTATGTGTATACATGTATACATAATAGAACTCAAGTTGTAGACTGTAAATGGGTGTAGTTTATTGTCAGTTACACCTCAAAGAAGCTATAAAACAACATTAAATAAAAATCTATGGGGAGAAAAATTAATAAGTATCCCAGCCCTCAAGTGAGACTGCAGGGTTCCCCCCCGCCCCACCCAGCGTGGCATACCTAACATTAAAGTCCTTTTGCCCAGACTGGGGAGCAACCTGATTGATCCACAGAGACCTGAACAGAGCCAGAGCGCTTCCACATCTATCGAAAACTTAGGTCTTAATTTTCCCTCTTACCCTTACCTATGGATATTGAGATTCTGGATGTTTTTCTTTTCTGTTTTTGTTAGGTTCCAAGTTTTCTTTCATGATCACATAATCCTTTCATAGTAAAAATTATTTTATTAATTTAAAAATGTTTAATGAAAAGACCAGTTTAAAAGATCTTAATAGTAGAAACACTAAGTATCAAATGCTTAACCATAGTTGAATACCAAGTGGAAACACGCACCTGAAGATGGATAGACGATGGATAGACGTGGCTGTACAGAGAGATTTCAGAAGAAATCACCTTCGTCTACTTTAGTCTAGAGAAAAGGAAATGAAGGAGAGCTCAGAGAATAATTAATTTTCTTTAGTAATGCTTTCAACTCTGCTCTGATACCATCTACTGCAAATCCTTGTCTTACCCTAATCAGCGGGGAACGGAGGAGATTCTGCCGCACCAGAGAAAGGCAAAGAGGCCTCCGGCAGTTTACCAAAAAAAAGCCCAGGCTGCTGCAGAGGTTATTCGAGCAGCTGCAGTCTTTGTTATGTGTGCACTATTTTGATGGGCACTGAGGGATGGCAAGGGCAATCTGACCTTGACAGCCGCAACAGGCAGGCTCGAAAAGCAAGTGGCAAGGCTCTGCTGTTCCACAGCTCTGGAATGCGTGAAAAATCTTCACTAACCTCTTGGAATAATATCACCCTTTGGAGACATTGCCCACCCCCTTTTTTTTTTTTTTTTAATACTTTAAGTACCCAAGTGTTGCCTGCAGACACAGCGCAAACTTAATGGCTCTGTATCAGTTCACCTTCGAAGAGCCTTCTTTTTCCAGGAGATGATGCCACAGACCTGTCAAGGACAAGAGAGATACCACCTTACAGAGGGGGAGATCTGTGCTTCTCGCTTGAGCATGCCCCCAACCCACAGAGCTGCATATGCTGAACCATGAAGGGTGGTTGGGGTCCAGTCACAGCCCCTCGGACCCAGGAATCCCTCACATTTATGTCTGCGCATTGCTAGCTCCCATCCCTATCCAGATGTATGTGGGCGAGGTGGGAGCGACACCATCAGCGTCAAGGCAACTGAAGGGTCAGTTTGAATTTTGAAGACATGAATTTTTGTCTCTTTCAGAGCAGCACCCATGTTCAAAGTTAACCTCACCTCTCAACAAATCGTTTCACCAACCTAAGTCTTGGCCAACACTGGACTTCCTTCTTACATCTTCTCGAAATGCAGAGAGCCGGACCTGCAGTCCAAGTCACCCTGATAAATCCCAACAGGCAGTGCTAATCTCCTTCGCCTTTCTTACAGATTTAAAGAGAAGCAGGGAGAGAGCAGAGTCGGATCCTTGCTCTGTAAGCAAAATAACTCCACCCACTGTGTTGTACAGGACCCACGAGATTTACACTCACCAATTAGCCCATTATCTTCCTTTTGGAAGGGCTTAAAAAAGGATGGCTGGGGAAACAAGAGAGGTGGACTCCAGAACAGCTTAGAACCAAGGTGGTCCTACAAATGATCAAGTTGGAGACCCGGAAGAATGGAGTGTCTCGACACAAAAATCCTAAAGATCTCCATTCACTACAAAGCTCAGAGATAGCAAGAGAGGACATCAAGCTAGGGAGATGGTATCGGAGGGAGAAGTCTCAAGTCTCCTCAGGTTCGGATAGGAGATGAGCTCAGGCTGGTGGCAGTGGTCTTCTACCCGTCCAAGGAGAGCCCCTGCTGCCAGGTTGCAGGAAGGTCTGTCATGGTGAAGTTCTGGATAACTGCTTTCTATGGCTTCAGAAACCAACATTAGTTAGTTAGTTAGCTGTATCAGCTGGCTGTGCCATTCAGTTCTAAATGCCCTTATTTATAACCCCATTGGTGCTGGATCGCTTTCTTATCCAGAGACCTTATGACAGATGGGCAGTCACACGACAATCGTGATATTACCAGTCCACAAGCTTGCCCAAATAGACATCTCTGAGGTCTAAGAAAGAGCACAGCATACCTAGTCCCTTTTATATAATCCCAATTTTACAGATGAAGAAATTGAGCCAGTTACATAACTGCCAAGCATCACAGCTAGGGCCAACAATTGAAACCAAGTGACCTAACTCCAGAGTTCACATTCAATCATGACACTGTATTGCAAAAGGACCTATATAGGTTTCTAAGGAAAAATGCCCTACATAGGGGCACCTGGGTGGCTCAGTTGGTTGGGCGGCTGCCTTGGGCTCAGGTCATGATCCTGGAGTCCCGGGATCGAGTCCCGCATCGGGCTCCCTGCTCGGCAGGGAGTCTGCTTCTCCCTCTGACCCT